AAAAAAATTTAAATGAAAAATTGAGATCAGAGACATTAATTTATTGAATCATCCATTTAAAATAACCCAGGATTCTGTAACAATATATTTGGTAGCTTAAAACAAGAGACTGTATACTTTCCTAGTGATGGATGTTGGAAATTCAGGTGAAGCCACTGTTGTTGAAGAAATTGCTCTGTTTCTCTCAAGGTCTGACGGCTACACCAAGCCTTGGCACTTTTCCACTGGTAGCTATGTCCATCTTTGTGTGGCTGTCTCCCCTGTGCTTTTAAGAATGTTGCCATTGGGTTTTGGCCCATCCTAGTCCAAATGACTTTATTTTGAAATCCTTACCTTAATTACACATACAAAAAAGACTCCAAATAAATTCATGTTCTGAAGTTCTGGGTGGACATATCTTTTGGAGACTGACCACAACTCAACCCATTACTTGCATTAAAAATGTAAAAGCAGCCATGAAAGAAACCTAAAAATTAGAATGTATAAATTCTCAACAAAAGGAGGAAAAAAGACATGCAGAAAACAATCTCCTTTAAGGTATAAAAGAAATGAAAGCTAAATAAAAGCACAGCATAAGATAATGGTGGAAATAAGTATAAATAAATTGGGAATTACCTTAAATGTAGCAAGTTAAGATATAACTGTTAAAAGACAAAGTTAGATTAAAAACAAAGAAAAAAATACACATACTATGGCTGCTTTCCAGTCACAGGTTTTAGTCTCAACCTCTTTACTACCCTCTTCCTTGGCTTAACATTGCAAGGCTGAAATGAACTCATTTGATGAAAGTGCTAAAATCATCTTCATGTGTATAATCATCAATTTCAACTTGATTTAAGAAATGCCTTGATGGGCTAGAAAGATGGCTCACTGGTTAAGAACACTGGCTGCTCCTGCAGAGGACCCAAGTTTGCTTCCCAGCACCCACATGTTGGCTAACAATGATGTGTGACTTCAATTCTAGAGGAATCCGATGCCCTCGTCAAACCTCCATGGGCATTGCATGACATGGGTGCACTTAACATACATGCGGGCAATACACTCATACACATTTTCTTTTAAAGATTTTTTTTAAATTAGTTTTGTTCACTTTCCCTAAACATCACTCACTCTTCAATGGCAGGATGGTAGTATTCATTTTTATATCTCTTACTGCATATAGGATGGGAAATAAATTTTTTGAGCATGCGAATTTCCTTGATAAATGCTCCCAAACTTTCTCTTAGACTCGTTCCCCCTATATTTTTATAGTAGGAGGCCAGAAAAAAACTTAGGTTTTGACATCCTGACACCAGTATTTTTTCATATCATGTTATATAAAACAAAGTAGTTGGGCCTGACAAAGGCCACACTTACAACACTGAGGTACCAAGATTACTAGCAATTCTTTTTTGAATTTCAGTGTAAATTGTTTCATTATTTAAACATGGAGAATAGTGTCCCTTCAACTTACACTTTAAAAGGTAATTCAAAGGAAGATTCTTCCTAAACTCACCTCTTCCCATTCCCAATAACTATTAAGTATTATTCTAGTGTAAGGCCTTATTCAAAGTAGCAGGGAGAAATTTCACCAACTGAATTTTTTTTTATTTCAGCTGTCACATTTCTAGATTTAGGAAAATGTTAGCAAATCAGTAAAGACAATGAAAGATACTACAGTTAGATCTGTTGCCAAGTGAAATGATACATACCTATAATCCCAGCACTTGAAGGCAGGAGTTCAAGGTCAGCTTTGGCTACATAGGAGTTGTAGGCCAGTCTGGGATACATGAGACCCAGCTGAAAAGAGGAAAACTAAGAAGTTTCTACTTCAACCATCTTTGATATACTTCATCGTTTTTGATGAGTTATAGTTGGTAATCAGGCTCTTACATCACCTAAAGTCACTTTGATACCTACGATGCTTATTTTAAGGCAATCAATGGCAGCCAGCAAGATGGCAGAACTGATTCCCACCAAGTTTTCTTTTGACCTCCATATGCATGCTGTGGTGCATGTGCACCTGCACACACATGCATGCGTGAGCATACACACACAGAGTAAAAAAAAATGTAATTTAATTTTTTAAAAAGTTACTAAAGTTTGGTTGGGGAAATAAAGACTAGTTGGTACTGCATTATATAACTCTATGTGTCCTGACTAGATAATGTAACTGTGAAGACAAAAAGAAATGCATTATTAAACACTCTAATAGCAAAAGCTCTTACAGGTATGCTACTTTAGTGATTTTGAAGCTCCAATATATGTTTACTGGAGCAAACACACACACACACACACACACACACCACCGACCACCACCACCAACCAGACAAAATTTAAAACCAACAGTGACTATATTATTGGTAATTAGAGATAAGCTTTTCACTGGAAAACTGGAATGAATCTTTTGGTATTAGATTAGGAGCTGGAGATATCAGTACAAAGTCAGGCTTACTGTAAATATACACAGACAGAGCTGGGGCATGGTAAACTACACCTGTAATGCTGGCATTGGGAAGGCTGAGGCAGGAGGGTTGGAAATTTCAGGCCAGCCTAGGCTTCAGGATCAGACCCTATTTAAACCATACAGAACCACACCAAACCAAACCCCAAACAAGACAAAACCAAACCTCAAACATGAGACAGATACATAATTTCAGAGGGTATGTATATGTGTGTTAGAACATATTCATAGCTTTCCTAGCTCTATTCACTGAAGAAACAGTGATGCTCCAACAGTAACAAGCACATCCAGCATCCAAATCCTGGCTTGTAGATACTCTTTTTCAAAAATAGAGGGTGCTTTGGAGAAATCAGAGTCTAGGGCTGGTGAAGAAAACACATAAGGTACCTTAAAGGGTTTTTGGTGGCAGCACAGCAGCAAAGATTGAGACAGCAGCCATCACAAGTGGATAGGGACAAAAGGCAAACTCTGGTCCCTTCATCTGTCACTCATTAAAAGATGATGCGTTTTCTTCTGTCCTCATCCTTGGACCCTTCTCAATAGCTTTGTCAGAAATAGCAAAGTAGGCTGGAATGTTTCAAGAATAGAAAGAAGCCTCTTGACTAGACCAGCTAAAACTGGTGGGTTTGAGATGGCCACACAAATGACTTCAGGTAGACACCAAATCCTTCAAATTATGGAGTAAACAGACAAATGGGAGGGACTGTAATGAAAAACTTTATCCCATAAAATGCTCCAGACATACCCCCAGAATCAACAGATGCTAGATGATCTGCTAGAGCAAAATCAATTTCAAATTCACTAATTCTGGGGTTACAGCTTGGTAACACATTGTTAGCTTTCCAATAGCATTACTATATTTGGATTTGGATTATGGTTATTAGTTGCCTAGGCTACTTTGCAAAAACTTAAAGGTCACTTGTGCTGAGAACACTAACTTTACTCAAACCTATCTGATGGGTGAATGAGACAAAGGGCATCTCTGTCTGTTATCTGTTCTCTTTGCAGTCTTAATCTCTGGGTGAGATCCTACTTGGCTCTACATACTTAATACTGTTTGGTCTACTGCCCATTAGAGCTGGTATGCTTCTTCCACACACCCTAGTGCTCTCTCAAGTACCTAAAGTCCCCCAGTCTTATCATAAGACCCAGACTAAACCATGACCAAGAGTTATACAAAACAATGATTCAGCTCTAACTCAGAAGTTTGTAGGTTAAGTTAGCCTGCAAACTTCAGGGCCAGAATTCTTATACAGAGAAAGGTAAATATGCTTTGAAATCACCTGTGGACAATGAACATTTACCTACTTCAGACCCACCCCCAAGTCAGAAAAGCTTGAATAGAGAGGCCCAATCACCTCAGCTGGCTCCCTTCTACAGGCAAAGTGAAGCCCCAGTGAAGAAGCCCTGCCTGCCATGTTCATAACATACAGCTGTTTTCATTTCTACTTTCCACACCAGGAGATCCCACTGTCTGGTACTAAGGGGGGATTGAACCCAGAATTAAATATAGGCTCTGGCATGGAGCAAAACCCCAGATTTGAGAATCGTGTAATGGCTCATTAAAATAGTTGAGTTGTAACAAAAAAATTTGTATCTATAACCTTATATGGAAAGATGACTGAATAAATAAGAGTAGAATCTTCTTTGCACTAGAATTTCAAGTAACATATGTAAATAGTCCCTTCTAGAAAGCAGAGCTTAATTCTTCTTTCCATTGAGCACCATTTTGACTTAAATGACTTACTTCCACAAAAATGAGAGGGGTATGGCATCTCTGGTATATGCCCCCCAAAACTATGGTCTCAGTATAATCTATACCAAATAAACCTAAACTGAGGGAGTCTATGAAATATTTTAAACCAATACTTTAAAATATCTTTTTTTCTTCATAAAAAAGTAAAGATGGAGACTAAGGAAACAATGACTAAACATAGTGTCACAGAATAGGTTCAGAACGAAAAAAGGGACTCGTGGGAAAACATGAAATTCCAATGTGTGGGTTAGCTAACGGAAATGTACACTGCAGGATGCATTCTCTACTAAATATTACAATATACCAAATCATTATGATTATCCATAAAACATAAGTTTGTATTTTATAACTATAAACATCTACAGTGTCTTTACAAAGTTACATTTAGATGAACCATGGATATCCTAACATTAATATAAATATACTATAAACAGAAATAAACAATAGAAATAGAAACTGTTGCCTATTGGCACAGAATGTAGACTCATTAAACTGGGCTCACCCCTGCAATCCCAGCACTGCAAAAACAGATTTATAGTAAAATAGTTCAAATGCCTAATATAAATAGAATTCATTTCTAAGATTTCAAAGATTGATGACAGAGAAATCTTGAGTTTTCTATAATAAACTGAATCATCTTTCCATTATTTTTTTAGCAATACCTCAAATCCCATAAACCTCAGCTTACATCAAAGCATACAGTACATTCCAACCACAGTAACAGAACTACTACTCATCAAATTCTTCAATGGGAACCAAGCATATTAAGAAATGCCAACTAAATAAACAATTACACAAAGCTAGTTTTATGAGAAAATCTTTTTTAATGGAACCTTTATAATAAACATAAAATAAGGTGACATGGCACCCAGGAACCAATTATTTCTCTTAACCCCAAAAGCCCCAAACTTCTCAACAAATACCCAATATTCTACCCAACAGCAAAGATAACATGAAACAGGATGGAGAAATAGAGGGTCTGATGTGCATTTGATGTTCAGACCCTTAAAAAGTAGTAATATTCTTTTCCTTGTTGTGTAAGACTTTCTTTCACATATTTGTAGTGGTAATGAGGACAACCATAGAAACACAGAACTGGGGATAAAGACAATGAATGTGTAAAGGGGCCATGAAAAAAAGATGGCCAAGCACACCCTTGTCATGAGTGACCCATATTAATGATCCAAAAGGGAAAAGTTGTGACTGTGGATTCCAATTTATGCTCAGTGTTTAGAAATTATGACTAACATTTTCTAGATTAAAATAATGTATTAATTACTTAGATATAAGGAAAAGGATGTTTTATGACTTGAAATTGAAATATAGAAAACTCACCTTCATTGTAATGCATATTACTACACATGCTTCTGATAATACCATTAAAAATGACAAGTTAAAAGCAGCCCTTCTCCTATGCATTTTACAAGTCTTCCTAATCTTTAGTCCCTATAGTTTTTACTAGAAAAAAATGACAATAAACTATGCATACACCATCTTATTTGCATAGCAATATAAATAATGCTACAGATAAATTATCAAGTGTTTTTTAGGAATCCATTGTAATATACATCAAGATTACACTCATCAAAAGTTAGGAGTTAATAAGAGTACACTTAAGTTTGGTGCAAACTTAATTTTATTAAACCTTACAATGAATGTTGTGGTATATCATTTTTCCATTGTGTGACAATTTACTGGCTGGCATCTGAATACAGTACTTCCTTTTAAAAATACACAATGGGAACTGACCAAAGGGAAACTCAATATTTAGTGATACACGAGGGGTGGGGGGGGGGGCTAAAAAAAGATGACAAAGTTTCCTTAGTATCCAACTTTAAAATGGTTAAAGTTCCAAGCAATAGTGCTGCTGTTAGAGTGTGTGAGAATGTTATTCCTCATCTAGCCCCTGCTGAGATGATAGTTACAGGAATTATTATACCTGCAAGTTCAGCTGAGGCGTTTTGCTGGGCAGTATGATTTTAAGGAGCTCATTTTCCAAATATAACCTAAACAATTTTCCCAACTTATAGTAAACAGGGTTTTCAAAAAATACTACAAATTATCTCCTCACAAGTGAGCAATCAACCTAACTTCAAAATCATAAAGGACACCAAGTTATCTTTGGGCTTATGCTTGTCAGATATAAAGATAAGAAAAGTGACTTTTTAAATTCATTTGCCTTTAGGAAGTAGATGGGTATCTGAGTAAATAAACTTTCTTTAAAAAAACAGAAATGATCAAAAAAATTCAGAGACCCTAATCTTATTTTCATAGAAACATAGTCAAAATTTATTTTATACATTACCTCCAGCCAGTGTTACCATGCTACAATGTCCAGTTTGATTCAAATCAATACAATTAAGCTCACTTTATTCTCTATGTTTTTAAAAACCCACAAACTTAAGAATTCTATTTTATTCAGGGTCACAATTTTGAGAATACTTTCTGATGAAAGCCTCAACAGTATCTGAGGTCACACTAACAAGCCATCTTCCTCTAAAGTAAAACCACAGACAATTCTGAGCTACTCAACTGAGTTTTCAAGAGCTTCCAATGGCATTTCTGGAAGGGCAAAGAGAAAAGGGAGGACTGCATCCTAACTGCAGCATAGCATCACAGTGCGGCAGCTGTCCAGACTCAGGACCAGTTCTAAGCTATCTAGTCTTTGTGGAGGAAAGCACTATTTAAAGAAATCCATATTTTAGATAGGGTTATACAGTTCACAGCCACCTGTAAGACAATGTTGGATACGCCTGCTCTAAGATTGTGTAAGTTCCAATCTCCCTGTCAAAGGGGGCAAGAGTGAATAGCTAAACCCCTTAAAAAAATCAAATGGTCATCTTTTCCCAAGAAAGTCAGATCAACCAATAAACGATTCAGCGAAATGGTAAAGGTTTCCCTTCTTTGAAAAAGCAGCTCATGCATACATTGTTCTACCAAAGTTTAGAGGCAGATGACTTTAAAATAGTTTGATGTTTCTAGAATCTGTCTATATGACTTATTCTTAAATATGGCAGCTCAAATATTTTATCAGACTTGCCCAAAGTAAATAAGAGTAAAACCTCTTCATCAAAAGGTTAAAACGTGTCCATTGATAAATTAGTCCATTTTATTCCAATGGTGAATTTTAAAATGTACTAAAACGAGTAAGGATACCTTTAAAAAAATTAAACTTCAATTATTTCATGAAAAAGTCTAATGTTCTTTATTTACTACTCTTCATTACAAGTTTCTACTGAATAAAGATGAAAATAAACTCAATGTGATTGTTTGCAATGACAGCTCTTCAAATAGCATTACATCAATCTTTAGAATAAAACGTCAACCCCAAATCTGAGTGATCCAAATCATGAAATTCAAAGGTAAATTGACTTTTTTTCCTCAAATCAATAAGGAGTTTTTTATTCTGAACAATTTCCTTAGGACATCTGCAAGGCAAATATGCCATCATAAATTTTATTCTGAATAACAATAAAGTGCTGAATGATTACTACCTGAATTCTTTTTTTAAGTAATTTTCATTTATCTTAAGAGCCCTTTCTGTGGCATTAGCAAATCTATGAAAGAAAGAAAAATAGAGGGTGAGGGGAGAAAGAGATGGAGTGGAGGAAGAGAAAGAGATAGTGAGGAGGGGAAAGAGGAGGACAGGAAGGAGGAGCTTGCTTTCAATAAAGGAACAGAAATCATGGTGCAATCTTTTGTGTTTAGGGTGACAAATAATTGAGATCAAAATAACTCATGCAAGTTATCTTTAAAAGATACATAAACTTGAAGAAAGAACACTGTTATTGATCTTTGATGCTATGGCAGTAAACTGCATACTAAAATACTTTTTCTTAGATGCCTAGATCTGGCTTGGCAAGCATCGTGCCACTGACATGCTTTAGCTCTTTTGTAACTAAAAATGATCTTCAGTTCAATGACTGAATAGCTCAATGTGACTCATTAAACTGTGTGATAAACTTTTGAGGTTAAATTGAAGCAGATTCTCTACACCTAATCACACCATCAGCACAAGCAGGACAATGCTGCAGCAGTATGAAAGGCAGGTCACTTTAGAAAGTCTTCCTTTAACTACATGATATATTAAGATGACAAACCTAAATTTCAACTGGGTTAATTAGTTATTATAGATTTGTTTCCCAAATTTAGCATACAAAAATTTCTCTGGATTAAAGAAACTCAGATATGAAGAAACAAAGCAAAAACAAATGAAAATAAGAGCTTGAGCTTAGATAGCTAACCGGCAGCTCTAAAAATTATCATGCTCTAAGAGTACTTTCATGAAATGAACTTTATAACTTAAGAAAACAGTGTTCGGAGTCAAAGTTGACCAACTGCTGCATAGAAAATATGCTAACATACAACAGTCCAGTTTAAGCCGGTGCATAGAGAAGATAAAGCACTTATGGTAACTGCAAATGGTGAACAAGTTCATAAGGTTTTACAACCTAGCATGGATCCATAAAGGGAAAAGTTGTAGCAGAAATGGTTGGGGGAGGGGGAGTAGAATCGCGCAAAACTTGAAAGGAGAAGCAAGATTTGGGAGAGGAGGACTTTCAATTGTATAAAATTCACAAACTAGTAAAGTATAAAGACACCACTGAAAAACAGTTAACTCTGTCCCAAACACCCAACAGCAAACAGTTTCAGAATGGCCTTTGGCAGACAATTTTAGAAATGAATATGACAGTACATTTCTCAATAATTCACAAACAATATATTATATGGTGTATTTATATTAAATACTGGGAAATCAGTCCTGTAAATCTGATGCTTGCAGTGCTTTAGCCAATGAGAGCACAATGATATCAAGCGAAATGAATGCTGGTGTCATCACAACAGTGCTCATTTATGGAACGACATTACCCACCCGTGCTTTAACAGTGCTAAAGCGCAGTCAGATTATCATCTGTGAAGTGAAACAAAGGTCTCTAGCTTTTCCGGGATATGCCCTTTATAATATATTCTATGATTCACGATGACACGAGCAGCAAGACACTGCAACGTGGTGTGATTTATGGGCTGGATCAAATTTTTAGCTATCTCCTTCTCGTCCAGCAAGTCACTAGCAGTTTGTTTGTGTAAGTTTGTGGCATCAAAATGTGCACCTGATTTAATAAGAAGATTCATGATGTCTGGATGGTTGTTCAAAGCAGCGATATGTAGGGGACTATTGTCATCAGAGTCTCTGACGTTCACATCAGCACCACATTCTATCAGTATCGCAGTAACTTGCAGAGATGGAAACTTACAAACTGGGTACCGCCCTACACATGTCGTATTCTTGTCCACAGCAAGATGCAGAGGGCTGAAGTTATTCTTTCCTCTTGGATGCAGCTTAAGAAACCTGTAGATAGTCTGCTTTTTGAAATGGTCTTGTTCTAGAGTACAAGGAACTTTTTCTAACAAGCAAATTAAGTGCAAAATAATGGAAAGTGCCTTATTTAACTGCAATGGGTCAGCTGGACATTGAGTTTGTTTGATAGCTCGCTCAATTTCAAGGACGCTTTTACACAGTATGCCCATAAGATCATCAAATGTAACAGTAGTGCCCAGCAAGCCTTTAGCCCTGTCCTGCAGCATAAAGGAGAACAGTTCTGCAAAAGACAGTAAGCTGCTGGCAGTCATTGGGCTTAAAGGGTCCAAGTTGTTCTGCTGCATATCCAAAGCATACTTCCATAGGTTGATGCACCGCTTAAAGTTTCCAGAGTCTGCATAGACAGCACCTCTGTATCGAATATAGTAAGAGGTATCAGGGTGAGAAGGACCAAGAATCCGTTCTCTAATTAATAGTGCTTGCATTCTCATCTCATCGGGATCAGCAATAAGACCTTCTAACTCTTCTGCACTATTCACCTCCTTAGCATAATCATAAGCCATTATTAGTGTCTGTGGTACTGGTTTACTAATTATATTAGTCCTATCACTGTATCTCATGTTCATTGCCTTCTTCCAGTATTTCAAAGCCCCAAGCAAATCTCTTTTTTTATCTACAAACGTAGCTCCCAGAAGCTCTAGAGCATTGATACGTTCTGTCTTGCTGGTCTGGGCATGGTGTGTCAGAAAATCCACAATATTGGTATGACCAGTTACACTTGCTGACAGAAGGGGAGTCATTCCATAACCATCTTTTTCCATCTTGGCACAATACATGAGAAGCATCTTCATAATGTCCAAACTTCCAGACTCAGCACAATCATGCAATGCAGTATTACCTTAAAGAGAGGGGGAAAGAACATAATTTGAAGAATATACTGTAATATATGTGTGTACTTTAGAAACTGAAGAAAGGCACAGGCCATTCCAAGCCACCCTTCAGCCATGATATAATTTAATTACAAAGGAGAAAATAATAATCCTGTGCACATAAAATTAGTGTCTGATATACAGTAGGAGCTGAAGAAAATACTTGTTAAACATAATGAATAAATTACTAAATAAGGTATGAAAAGAAAAAAAAAAATAAACAAGTCACCAGATAAAGCTTAAAATTAAATTCATGGCCTGTTGGCATTTTTTCATTAATGACTTGAAATGTATATTCTATGACTGAAATACATGAAATAAAATTAAGCCATTTGTAGTTTTACTGAAAGTCAACTTTCAGTTTCTTCATTTAAGATCTAAGATTCTTCCACTTGATTTTAGTAGTGGACAAAAACTGTATTTTTCAACGTTCCTGACTGCCAAATAAGCTTAAGTTGTTTGAGCCAAAATTCTTGGTTACAAAGTACTTTCTACAAAATGCTTCTCTGCTCTCACAGGAAAACTAAGTCCACAGATATTTGAAAAATATGTGGGTGGTTCAACATGAACTTTAAAAGGAGACATATGAAGTATTCTTTTATAATGGATTATTTCCCACTGTAATTTTGTTTTTCAAACATTCTTTCTAGATGTACTAAATGTTCTAACACTGTCCTATTCTTCCCACACATAAATTAATACTGATAAAAGGCACTAGCACATTAGTAAAAGCCTACATGAGGCATATTATGCATCAGGTATCATATCCAAGCTTAATAAACATTTCACTGACTGTCAAAGGGGAAGTTATGCAGTTTTTATACTTATGTACACACAAACACATACACATGAGCACGCACAGAAAATTTCAACAGTGCATCATTTGAGGCATATTTATAGAACATTAACAAAGCAGGCCAAGACTGCCATCCTTAGAAAGACCTATTCGCAAGGTTGAGCCTGAACTGGCATCTGGAAACTTGTCTAGTAAATGGTTCTCTATACCAGCATAAAACTTTCCCTAAATGAGGACTGACGAGATGGCTCAGTGGTAAAGAGCATCAGTAGTCAGAAAGCATCAGTGCTCTCAGTGCTTGATTGCCCTACACATTGTCAAAAGTTTACCAGATACCACTTCAGTTGTAGATCACTGAAATTCTGAGACAGAGTAAACATATTCTGAATAATGGAAAACTAAATGTGATGGACTTATCAAAAGTTTAAAAGCCCTAATGCATAACTTGATTTTTAAAAATTTTATGACATTTATTTAATGTGTGTATATGTGTGTGTGCAAGTGTGTGCTATGGCATGTGTAAAGGTCAGAATCTGAACCTGGGTTCAAATCCCAACATCCACAGAGCAGCTAACAACCCTCTGTAACTCCAGTTCCAGGGGATGTGACCCCTACTTCTGACCTCCACAGGCACTGTATGATATGGATGGATGCACTTACATACATGCAGGCATAACAGTCATACACATAAAAATAAAGTTAAAAAACCAAAACAAGACCCCCCCGCAAAAAAACCCCACAACTTTCCCCAAATGATAGAGCCTAAACTATGCCCAAACTATAGCCTCTGAAGTTTATGTTAAACAGTTGGTTTTAGTCTAGGAGTCTAAAACTTGAGATATGCATTAGGCAAAGGGAACTTTGTATGACCCAGTCTTCAATAACAACCTTAAGTACTGAGTCTGTTATGGATTTCCCTGTATAAAAACATTTTACATATCTTCATTACTGGAAAGAGTGCACTGTGTGAGTCTTCATGAAAGAAGAAAGCAGTTAGTAAGCCTGTACACATTCTCTAGACCTCACCTGTGCCCTTTTCCCCTTACGACTGAGCTGTGTGTCCTTACAGCATTATAATAAATCTTAGCCATGAGTACAACTGCATAGTGAGTTATCTTCAAACATCAGGGTGCTTTGGGGGACTCCCAATCAGGAAGTGGTTTAAGCAGGAATACTTCATATAACAAATCTACTTTATGACTCAAGTTAGAAAAAACAAGCTAGGTTGGGAAGATGGCTCAGTAAGTAAAGCACTTGCCACTCAAGTGTGAGGACCTGAGTTTGAGTCTCCAGAAGTCATAAAAGCTATAGTGGCACACACCTGCAATTCTAGCACTCATAGAAAAGACGGGGGATGAAAAGAAGAGAATCTTAGAAAGTGTGACTAGCCTGGCGTACACAGAACAGTGACAAAAATCAAAGAGACCCTGCCTCAAACACATGTGCCATGGTATGCACATATAGCCACAGACACATATCATGCACACGTATCACACACACACACACACACATGCATCACACACACACACACACACACACACACACACACACACACACACACCATACAC